ACTCAATTAGGTTGGAATTCAATCCCTTTTTCAGATGGTCTCAGGGTATGTATGGCCCTAGGTACAGGCCATGATATTTTAGGACCCCTTTAGGGCCTGCAGAAGACAAAGTATTCAGCCTGGACATTTTTAGTTCATTATGCAAGGAAACAAAGGCTTTTATTAGTTTTATTAGTCCTATTAGTAGTTACAGAGGAAGATGACACAGTTAGAGGACCAATGCTCTTGCCATTACCCAAGCTTAATTTCCATTGCTTTCACAATAAGCTTTTTATAGATTATTTATTACCAATTTGGTACTTAATTTTTAAAAATTATTATTATTATTTTTTAGTTGTAGATGGACATAATACCTTTATTTTGTTTAGGTATTTTTTTGTGGTACTGAGGATCTAACCCAATGCCTCACATGTGCTAGGTAAGTGCTCTACCACTGAGCCACAAGCCCAGTCCCAGTATTTAATTTTTAAAAGGCATTATGTAATGTATAAGATTATAGATATACCACCCTTAGGGAGTTGACAACCTTGTAGGCAGATAACCAATAACTGTACACTGTAATGAGTGCTATTAAAACAAGCTACTATAGGAATATTATGGGAACACATAGAAAGTGCATTTGAACCCAGACTCAAGTGGAAGATGAGGAAAGCTAAGGCTTCTAGGAAGTGATATTTGTCCTGAATTTTAAGAAATTATCCTTTCACAGCTAAGTATTAATTCACTAAGAGTACATTGCACTCAAAATATTCTTACTGTTTTAGTTAAACCATGATGGTTTTCTACGTGTTATGCATCCAAAAGATATTTGATCTCTGTTCCACCAACTGCTTGTAAGCATATGCCAATACTGGGATGGATCAATAACAATACTTTTATGGATCTGTCCCTCCCAGTTTATTGGCTTAATCCTCAATCTGGTTCAGACCATACAGGATTACATTAGTTGGCCAATTCCCTTCCATCTTTCTTTCCTCAACAATTATCTCAAGCACTGACCCTTCATTCCAGATACTTAATTATGATGCTTTAAATAATACCAATACTCTTTGTAAAGAATAAAAAAGCCACAACCTAACAGTCTAGGAATGCTACTAATACAAAAATTTTTGAATAGAAAAAGTAAAATTCTATTCACATTTTTCTGTATGTCATCTCTTTAAAGTCCTTCTCTGACTTCTTTATGCATAACAATTCCCTATGGGGTTTACTCCTAAAGCACCTTTCACATACATTATATATTATCTCTTTTGTGTGACTTTTAAAATTATTTTTAAAATATGAGTCATGGTTTTCTGAGGCTAGCCTTGAACTTGAAACCCTGCCTCAACCTCCTGAATTGCTAGGATTACAGGTGTGTGCCACTGTGCCTAGTGCCACTTTTGTTTGCCTTGATTCCTAGACTCTCAGTGCTTTGAGAGTTAGGATTGTCTTGCTCAACTTTTCATCTTCAGTTCTTAGCACCATTCCTGGTTTATACTAAATATTCAGTAAATATTTACTCAATGAATAAATGTGAAGAAATATAAAAACTTTCTTAAAATATTTTTTAGTCATGTCCAGGAGTGATTTTGCAAGGTCCCCTTGCTTACTATTACCTGTTTCTATCTCTTTCATTTATAGGTATATCCTACTATCAGGTTCATTAGTAAAATGAACAGTTAAGAAATTATACCCTCTAGCACCTCTTAAGATAACCTAGGGCTTTCATCCTATGACTTTAAGAAAGAATGGCCCTGAAATCCATTGATACAGCTGTCAACAAACCATAGAATTTTTAAAGAAATTCCATTTAAATATACAACACTGAAATTATAAGTAGCATTCTTAGATGGAATTGGATGTATATATTTATTTGATAAATTCTGAGTTTCTTTCACCTAGAATTTAATTTATAATAACAAGTGATATTAATATCCTGGTAACTTCACCAAAGCATTCACATGAGTTCAATATCCTTCATTTATCTTCTACACACCAGAGATTCACAGTAAATTGTGCTTGGAGGATTAATGTTTCTATAGCCTTAATCAGAATATACCTTAAGCAAAAATATATTTGATCAGCAAGATCCTTCCCATCTTGGACATCAATGTCTAGAGGTATAACATCAGGTGGTAGTCCTAGAAACCACTAGGGAAGCATACAAGTTAAATAGCTTACAGGTCCAGGTCTCTCTACATTTATATGATTTGTCAGAACTAGGATAGCCAAGATGGGACAAGAAAAACTATCCGCCATAAATTTATTCAAAAACTATTATTACGCTTATATAGAAAACAGTTAAAAAGCCAGAGCTACAATCTTATTTTTTTTAAATTTATTTTTCAGTTGTATTTGGACACAATACCTTTATTTTATTTATTTATTTTTATGTGGTGCTGAGGATTAAACCTGGTACCTCACACGTGCTTGGCAAGTGCTCTACCACTGAGCCACAACCCCAGCCCCTACAATCTTGTTTTTGATGCCTAGACTTCTGTATTTCCTCATTTCAGTACTTTCCTCATTTCCATACTTCTGTATTTCCTCATTTCAGCTCTCTAGTTATGTAAATGATGGCACATAATTTTTGATATGTAGTAATTTTTGATATGTAGCCCAATGATAGACAAATATTAACACAAGCAGTCTTCCGTAAAATGAGAATGAAAGTTTGAGGTTAGTTAAAGTTAAAAGGATCAAATAAATGATGCAATAGATTTTCATGATAAATACCTTTGGATAAATGTGGTTTATAAAATTCCAAGAAAGATCATACAGCAAGAAACCCAATTAGATAATTTTATTCAGATGAATTTATGACACCTGATAAGAAAATTGTGGCTAAGCTAAACCATTCATTTTTGGCAATAAATCAGCCTAATTCTCTTAGTTTCAATGTATCAAAGGAGACCCACTTTTACTCTCTTTTTGGGAATATGACACTCTAATAAATGCTAATCTTAGGTTTAAAAATGTTTCCTATTTTCTTAACAGTAATAATGATGGAACTGTACATCAAAAAGAGTTATGTTGTTTTGTTACTTTAATATAGAGAATGGAACACAGCTTAAAATAGTTCTTGATTTTTAATGTGAACAGAAGTGAACTTTGAATAAGTATGGCAATTATCTTAAAATTCTAGGAATCATTCCGTTCTCTTTTCTTCTATATTACTCTGTGTTTCCTATAAATGTTTATTAAGTTGAATTCCTAGATGTTTCTATTTTCAGTCTATAATATCACTTCCTTTTATTTTCATGACAGTTAATGAAATATCCCATTTTTTAAAATGAAGACAGAAATATCTTATCATACTTCATAGTCAGTCCTACAATTCGTTGAGAAATAGCTCTAAAGCCTTAAACAAGGCCTTTATTTAGTGTTTTTAAAGAAGTGTCATAAGGAGTTAATAGGACACAGCTGTACTGGCTCTTTCTAATAAGCAGCTTCTGTCGCTTTGGTCACCACAGGTGTCTCTGTAACCTGCAAACTCTTATTACTAGTGTATCAAAGTTGTGCTACTTAACAGACTTCTTTAGTAAAACATAACAAAGCAATTACATGGCTGTTGATTGCCAGTCATAAAAAAAAAAACCCTCAAACACTGTTTTTCAAAAGAAACTACACTGCAATTTTTTGTCATTGTAAAATAAAAGGAACTAAGGAATTAAATGGAGGATAGAACAAAATAACAGCAGGTAGCCCACTGAACTTAGCCACTACAGATGGTTTAGAAATAGTGTTTCCTTCTTCATCAAGTTGTGGATAAAAGGAAAGGAGGAGATTCCTTACTGCCAGTGAATGGCAAAAGATTTAGCCACGTCTCCAGTCTATGTATTTTGCCTCATGAAAGACCTTCGATGCTGCATTTTTATCTGTTTTTGGCACTGCTTTTCATCACCTTTAACTGAGTGTGAATAATAACCTGATTTAATTTAAACAAATACAGGTGCTAGAGGTTCTTTATTTATGTATAACAGGGAATATTTCCAAGGCAGAACAAAGTCATCCTAGGAAATTTCCTAACCATTTGCTTAAAGAAATTAAGTATTAGATGAAGAAATTGCTTCAACATTTTTTTTTTTTTTTTGGCTCACAGTTAAGGGAAGAATTTTCTTTCTTTTCAGATTCAGATAACATAAAGCAAAGTCTGAATGATAATAAAAAATTCAGTGAGACATAAAATAATAAAAATATAAATCGGATAATTTCCAATTGATCTATAATCATTTAAATTAGGTAACTATAATAGGCTTTCTTGAAATGAATTAATTTAACCTCCTGTTCATAAGCCCGCAGTCTTGTGTTATGATTGTGTTAACACATCCAAAATAGCATCATGGGATGTTACAGTCACATGTGTAATTACACATATTGAAAATATATTTCAGATGGAAAACTCAGAAAGGTAAAATATGAAGAATTACTTATCATTTAAAGAAATTATGATTAACAAATTAACTATACTTATACTGACAAATAGGAAAGGGATTTTTTTTCTTTTGAGAATATGGATGCATTGCTGGCTGTGTGCAAAAGAATGTGTGCAATAAAGCGATTACATCAATTAGCATATGCTAGAGTTAAGCTATTACCAACTTCACTGGACTGGTCCAGAATGTCCTGCCTTCTTCACTGAAGTTATTAAAAAAATAAACCTACTACTAGGATTACGCGTTAGACTTGCTTTGCCTTTTATGAGCATCATAAAAACACTGATTTTCTTTAAACAATCAACAAACTAGAAATATATACTATCTGTCTTATTGCAAAAAAAGATAAATATATTTTTGTTTTCAGGTTATTATTGAATTTAAGCAGAGTCTTTTTAAAGTTATGTTTTCAAATTGTAAATAACTGCATATGTAGCTATAACAAATAGTTTTTATCTAATGAAATGTAATAGAAGCGTTAATGCTAAAGATGAAAAATATTTATGATGACAAGAAGCCAAACACAATAATGACTTTTTAAAAAACAGAAGACCAACTTACAACTTGTGAACAGAATATTACCTTGCTCTGTTGGCGTCCTTTGTCAGATCCCAAGCCCAGGTTATAAAATTTTGACTCAGATAAGAAACAATGGATTCAGCACAAAGCATTTGTGAGCAGAACACGTTGGTTAGTACACTTTCATCATGGTGGAGGTAGATAGCAAGAAGCTTTCTCTGCAAAGAGGAGAAAATACCAATCAATTAAAATACCCATTAATGAAAAATTCTTGCATTTTGGAGAGGCATAATCAATATAAATGAACAGCAAAGACAAAAATTAAATGCTATTCCCTAAAAGCATACCTTACATTTGGAGTTCCTAAAGCATCTACAGTATAAACAATTTTTGCCTCCTTACACTTTAAATAAAGAGGCAAGTATGATTACATCTAGTTTTACAGATTGCTAGCATAGATTCCTATTAACATGTGGAAGCAAAATTTGCAAGAGAATTGCATTTTCTTTAAATAAAATGGACTTACCATTCTTTATGTTCAATACATCTTTATGTAAAAGAGAAATATTAACTCTGAGGCATTTAACTATGTAGAAAAAAAATTAATCATTAAGATTGGATGGCAAAACATCTCTTACATATTCTTTATGTTTTTAATTTGAACACTGAATAGTCTCTTCTACTTGAAAGAAAAAGGGCTGAAATAAAGTTCTGTTTTAGATCTACTAGTAATTTCAAAATGCTTAATATATTCCCATATTAAAGTCCTTACTTATGAATATGCAATTTTAATTACCATTTGAAAAGATGTTTAAAAATATGCAGTCGACATGAATTCTTTTTTGGTTTAAATTTTATAAGATATCCAATGTAGTTTCTCCTACGAAAAATTATTTTTTCTTTTGGCCATGATAGAACTTGTCCTTAAGAAATGACACTTGCTGTCTTAAAAACGTCCTGTCATAGTTGGGTATTCAATAAAATAACTCAAATTAAAAACTAAAATTGAACAATATAATTTGCAATATGTCAGCTACAATAATGTCAAAAATGAAATAACCCAAATTCTGTTGACTAACTTATTAATGCTACCTTATAGAAGAGCTAAGTTTAAGAGTCACAGTTATCAGGAAAAGGAAAGACAAAACATATAAACCAATAAGCGAAATTCTGCCAGAGGAAAATTTCAAGGAAGTTTTAAGATATTTCCATTCATATTAAGTAAGGAATATGATGGTAGTCGTTAACTAAACATTTGCTGGGTGTAATTCTTAAATAAAGACTCATACTGATGAATGCCTAATGATGTCTGATGCTTGGAAGTATCCTGATAAAGAACCCAAATTGTAACAATGCCTTAAAAATAATCATTAAAATATTTTTCTCAAAAGAAAATTTTGTACTATAAAAGAGGTAAATATATTAAACAAAGGTAAACAGATTAAAATTCTAAAATCATCCTACTATTTTTACATTTACCTCCAGAATAAACTTGTAAAACAGGTACTAACCTCATTAGCATATGAGGAAACTGAGGTTTAGAACCCTGACTTGTGCTAAATTCCACAACCAGTTTGTAAGAAACACACTGGGGACTACAAACCAGATTGACTGAATCCAAGTCTAGTGTTCTATCTCTGATACTACAATGTAGCAAGGAAATCACCACACCATAGTCAAGGCATGTGGGAGCACTCATAACTTGAAGCTGCTACACTGCTTACAACATCAGTGCTTCCAGGCCTCAGAAACTGCATGTAACAGGAATAAGGTCAGGGTTCCTGTATAAATAGTTTGGCTGATCTCACCCTGCTTCTATGTGTTAATTCATCTATTCATTCATTTAACAAGCATTTGTTCAAATACTCAATGTGTCAGGCCTAGGAAGAAGTACAAATGATAAAGTGGTGAACAGGAAAGACACAGGGTATCTTCATCTATGTTGATGTCTGCAGGAAGTTTGCAATCAGATATATTGTTGGAGAAATACTTATTTGGTAAATTCTGACTCAACCTTGAAGGTTCAAAGCAAATGCCTCTATGAAACCATTTCTGATTCTCTTAGGCAAAGTTAAGAGCTTCCTTTCCCGCGTTGCTAGCTCTTCCCACTAGTATAATTGTTTACCAGTTTCTCCTCTAGACTAAGTCTCTCAAGGGTCAGGTCTAGGTCTTTTTCTGACTTCTTTACAACCTAAACTAGCATAGGTGCCAGCCTGTTTGAGGAAAACAACCTGAATGCTGATATTAACCTCGGCCCCATAGCAAAAAAAGACACCACATGGCAATGACAATGCTAAATCAGTTTTAGTAAGTGAATCAAGAATCTGCTGCTTTAGGGAAAGATCGTGAACCTGGCTGCAAACAAATTCAGAGCTCCTCTTCTTAGGAGATCTCTAACTGAAAAGATAGAGGGATGTCAACCTCTAATTCAGCTTGATCGTATCTCAGCAACTACATTTAATGAGACACTGGGAACAAGAGAGCTGTCTACTTTTAAATCAGCATATTTCTCACCAAACAATAGCAATTGCTAAATCTTTAAAATGCCTATTTCTCTCAAGAACATTGTAATGGAACATTTAGACTTTGGGAAAGAGATTAGTGATTTATATCGCTATCTCACTGATTTAATTTAAATGCTCTTCCAAACCAAACACACATGTGCCAGAGAAGCTACTAAGAAACCCAACATGCAGAGTTCCCCATAAGTGAAGCCCACAGTGTTGACTGAAACTAAACTTGGAAATCCAGGGCACTAATGCACAATATCAAGCAATAAAACAGCATCTCTTTGGCAATATTTAATTTAAAAAAGAAGAAAGAGGCGGGCGAAGATCAGGGACTGTCTGTTTTGGAGGATCAACTATTCTGCATTTCAAAGCATTGGTCCCTGCAATATCCAGGTTACTGTGCTAGAATCTCGACTATTATATCGCAGTTGTGAGAGGGAGGGCAAAGATGTGTTTACTCAGTGATTAGGCCCTTAGAATAAGCCTCTAGCTCCTAGAGAGACAGCTCACCACTTATTCATTTGGGCCAATTCACAAAGCCTAGGAAGATTAAACATCCATGCTGAGAAGACAAGCGAATGCAGACGGTGAAAAAGAAATAAAAATTCTTTAAAAACTCTGAGATGACTTCATTATTTTTCCACAAGGAAACTTTAGGAAAGTGTTTAGTTAGAGAAAAACCCACATTGACCTCTCTCTAAACCCTTAATCTTTCCTTTGTGGTGGCACTGCTTTGTGGTAAGCGACTGGCTCGCCTCGCCCCTCTTTTCACTAGAAGCTGAGAGAAAAAAGGCTCTGGAGAAACAGTTTTCGTTCCAGGGACACAAACCCCTGACACTGTTAAACATGAGATGCCAGGAAAACACACTTAAAAAAAATTCCCACTTTAAACTCTAAACTGAATGTGAGAAAGAAGATGGTAAAAAAGAGTATCAGGAAAAGATCTTCAGGCTGGGGGCACGCCCACAGCAGCTTTCAAAAGGGAAATGGAATAATATTAAAATGCTCTCATCTCTCTGACAGGATAAGCATTCAACAATAACAAAAAAAATTTCTTTTGCTGTTATGACAGTTGTCAAAAAACAAACACAATAATATGCAAATGCTACTAAATTTGGGCTATACAGTCTATTTTAATTATAGGCATGATAAACGAGGTCCAGTTTCAGATTTCTGATTACCTAATTGAGCTTAATTTAGGTAGGGCAAAACAGAATTGAATTCGGCATAAACCAATCTGGAAGAGTAGAAATGGCAAAGTAATCAGAAAACTGCTTCTGTGAAGAAGGGGCATAGAGTACACAGAAAAAGCATTAAGATAGTGTTTTGTTTTCCATTACTATAACCATTTTTTTCCTTTGGTCCATTAATAATTTAGTTCAATAACATTTACAGAGTGCCATGTGTTAGAGATTGAGAATATGGAGATGAATAAAACAAAGTTCCTTTGCTCTTAAATAATTGGGGGTGGGTGGGTATGTTGGGAAGTAAACATTTAATCATGTAACAATGATAATATTGGGGTACTAAAAAGACTATATTTTATTTGTATTTTCTAATTTGGCAGAGGGTCTAACTCAGGTAGATCATAAAGGCAAACAACTCAGCTTCACTATTCTCATATGTCCATTTTGTGATCTAGGTTTTGGTAACACAGTATAAAGAATGGTCTCCAAGCTTTAAAATAATAGAAAGCTCTGTTCTAAAATGAGTTCTGCCATTTACCAGTTGTACGATCATGGGGTAAGAAAGGTCATAAAGATTGTGCACAAAGTAGGTTAAGCATCTATTTATTATGCAGGGCCCCACAGCAGGTACTGAATAAAAAGTATGTTAGGATGAAGATTCCGGGACTAACCATGCAAATAAAAGGGGTTTGAAAGCAATTCTGAAAGAAATCATAGTCATGAAAATGTATTAAAGATTAAGCAGCTCCTACTGGCAATAGTATCTGGGATGCTCATTGTGTCGTCAGTGCCTCACTAATCTTCACATTCCAATCTAGAAGCTAAGGTACTAAGTTGATGTTTAGGAAATGCCCAGCTGACAGCAACCAATGTAACTTGGCTTTGAGTGGCATTGGCTATTGTATTTAAACAATATCATAGAACCAAAGAACACTAGAACTGAAAGAAAGTAGCTATGTCTCAAAATGAGCCAGTCACAGAACACTCAGGAAACAGTGAAGGACTAAAATGGAAGTGTTTCTTTTTGAGTGACAAAATATCCATAATCTGTGTGTTCAATTATTTTAATATGATATCACAAATAATTTCTAGAAATGGTAGTTCAGAGTAGTAAGAATTAAGGTATAGGGCTGGAGTTGTGGCTCAGCGGTAGAGCGCTCACCTAGCATGTGCGAGGCCCTGGGTTCGATCCTCAGCACCACATAAAAATAAATAAACAAAATAAAGATATTGTGTCCAACTACAATTAAAAAAAAAGAATTAAGGTATAAAATTATGTACTCTGTGTAAGTTGGGACTTGACTTTATTTCTTTTTCCCACTTCTGATCTTCATCATTATCATTACCATAATAATCAGAATCATTACTATTATCAGGCTTTTGTTTTTTAAGTTTGGAGATGGTTTATTTACATAAAAAGTGATATACTGGTTCTAATAAACACCCATTTATTCTTTATCTAGATGTACCAATTATTAACATTTGCCCATATTCATTCTATCATTCTTTTTATACTTCTTT